TCTATGATGACATTTAGGGTAGTCATCAATCTGATTACAGCGTTCAGGCACCCTCTCCACTATTGCTTCGAGTCTTAGCTGGGGTCATCCTTGTGGGTTCCTGGGAATTGCCCTAGCACCAGGTTTCTTCCTAACCCTATAATGGCTCCTTCTATCAAGATATCTCTTTCCTTGCTCTCCCTCTCTGTCTCTCCCCCAACTCAACCATTTACTCACGTTCTCTTCCCACCTCCCCTTTCTCCTTCCCCTTCCTCCCCATAATGCTCCAAATTTACTCAGGAGATCTTATCTATTTCCCTTTCCTAAGGGGATCCATGCACATCCTCTTAGGGTCCTCCTTGTTACCTAGCTTCTCTGAGGCTGTGGATTGTAGCCTAGTTATCCTTTGCTTTACATCTAATATTCACTTATGAGTGAGTACACACTGTATTTGTCTTTCTGGGTCTGGGTTACCTCACTCAGGATGTTTTTTTCTAGTTCTGTCCATTTGCCTGCAAATTTCATGATGTCATTGTTTTTTTTGTTTTTTTTTGTTTTTTTTTTTAATAGCTGAGTAATACTACAGTGTATATGTTACCACATTCTCTTTATCCCTTCTTCAGTTGAGGGGCATCTAGGTTGTTTCCAGGTTCTATCTATTATGAATAATGCTGTTATAAACATAGTTGAGCAAATGTCCTTGTGGTATGATTGAACATCCTTTGGGTATATGCCCAAGAGTGGTATAATGGAATTTTATTGCTAGCAATCCACGGAGTCTGCTTAATGATCAAAGGAATTTATTTAGGGGTGAACTCACAAGACAGAATAAAGGTATTTTTTGCAGGATCCTGGAAGGGTGAGGCATGAGCTCTGTCCTAGTCTGTCCCAGCATTCAAAACCACGAGGTAGCAAAGAGAGCCGAGTAGAGTAGTACATCCCAGGTTTTAAGAGTCTCCCCCTGCCCTGTCCCCCCCCCCCAGCAGCCATGCCCCAGGGGCAAGTACCTCAAGATTATAGGGAGGTGGAACAGTTGCCTGCTACCTCATTAGGGGGTGGTGCTTCAGGGCATGGCTACCCATTACAGTGGTATTGCTGGATCGTGAGGTAGATTGATCCTCACTTTTCTGAGAAACTGCCAAACTGATTTCCAGAGTGGCTGTACAAGTTTTCACTCCCACCAGCAAAGGAGTGTTCCCCTTATTCCACATCCTCTCCAACATAAGCTGTCATCAGTGTTTTTGATCTTAGCCATTCTGACAGGTGTAAGATCTCAGAGTCATTTTGATTTGCATTGCCCTGATGGCTAAGGATGTTGAATAGCTCATAATTTAAAACATATTTGTTGCACATAATTTTAAACATGCTCAGTGGTAAAGAACTGTGAATTCATTACCCAGCTATAATCATCATCAACTTACAGCTTTACCCCAACTCATCCCCCACCTCTCTCCACAGGATTATTTTAAAGCAAATCTCATATATATTATTTACAAGGTGGTGATTTTGTCTTCTTTTGGTATATATAATAATTTGAGTATGTAATAATATAAATATAATGTTACAAAAGTAGATCACAGTAGGATGTGCATGGTTTCCCTTTGGTAAACAGGGAAGAGTCTGTCAGGAAGCTTACCTCTGAATAAAAAATGACTGCTTGCATCTTCTTTGGCTTGGATATATTTCTCACAGTGTACATGTGGAGAAAAGATGATAGCAGTTGGAGGAAGATGTTGATGCCAACACTCCAGCTGTATTCCTCTTGAAAAGCTGATTGCTTTGGTTAAGCGTGGTTGCTTTATACGGCAGAGGAGGCATAACCACTCTACAAAGGCGAGGACCATTTCTATTGGTCTCTCTTTTCTCCTTGGCATGTCAGTTTAAAATTTTGATATCAGCATCTATTATGACAGCATGGTTTGTCATAGTCAGCTCTCCTGACATTTTTTTATTTTTTTTTATTTTATTTTATTTTTTTTTTACTGTGGAATGTTGTCTATTCAAGTGGAGAGTGTTTAGTAGCATTCTGGTATATATACATATACGTATATGTATATGTATATATATATAGTGTGTATGTATAATACATCTATGAATTAAAATACATAGTGTTGGAGATCAGCAATAAAAACTCTTTCTCATTCATTTTATTGGCTAAAACCCCGTGGAGAATGTAATTTGTGACCTGAAAAAAAGTCGCTGTTGTGTTTTCCTGACCCTCATATTTAATTAACAAACCTATGATGCAATGGCTAATGATAATCTACGTGTTTGAGATATAGCCAGGAACAACCTTGACAAGGTCAGCTCTGAGAAAAGCAAAGGTCATGAATGAAAGATCCCTTGTCAGCTGTGACAGTGGTGTCTCCAGCTTACCATCGAGCCAATTCATTATCATCCACAACACAGGGAAACATTGTGTGGAAGTTAAAAGTGGGAGATTTCTGCCTAGAAAATTAATGATGTTCCATACATACTGATATGTCTTTTGATTAGTAATTAACACGTAAACATGGTTGCAAAACATAAAGGAAAAGGGTATTTAAACATTGCATATAATTTGGAGGGTTCCCCTCCCAATAATGGAAACATTTAATTAGAGAAGCATAAAATGAAATAAGGGAAAATATGAGATCATCTTGCCCATGTTCTTCAAGGGCTACACTGTTCTGCATGTATCCATGCCTGTGCAGTGCGCTCCTCCCGGTCCAGAGTCTTATCAAATACCCCCATTCTAGTAATATAGGGAAGTCTTTCTGCTTTCTCTCTGTAGAGAAACTCTCAGAGGTCATGCATTAGTGGTACCATGATCTTGAGAAGATTGCTTCTGTACTTAGTGGCACTAAAAAGAACACTAAACTAAACTAAACTAAACTAACCAACTTCTAGCAGAAGTCTACATCAGACATTGCTGAAGCAGGGTTAGCAAACAGTATACACGTTGATCTAAATAATGCTTTGTAAGCACATAACTCATTAAAGAGCACATGCAGAATCTTGAGTCTGGGGATGGAGCTCAGGGCCTTATACATGCTAGGCAGGTGCTCTTCCACTGAGCTATAGTCCCAGCCCTGGGAACACGAGTCTTATGTGTTCTTGAGACTGCTGGTGTTTTAGTTGGGTTCTCTGGAGGAACAGACCAAGTGGATGAATATATTATCAAGCAAGCTTTAGAATAGTGATAGTCAAGTCACATCTGAGATGCTGAGAACCCGGTACTCGGTTCTTAAGACTGGGTACCTTAACAGTTGGAATCATCCCAGAATAGCAGTCTCTCACCAGGAGTGATGACTGTAGTTATCCAGTCCACAAGGCGGCGCCTCACTGGTGTTGGAGGTCTGCAAAGTTCTGGAGAGTACTGGTCCCTATTCCATGATGAGAGCCTGGAAATGCTGGTTCTGCTATGGCGGAAAAATCATCCCCTCCACACCAGGAGCAGTGACCAGACAGGTAAATCATCTTGGAGGACAAGAACAAGGTCGAGGGAGCAAAAGGTGAGAACTAACCCCCTTTGAAACACCGTCATTTATTGTGGGTCGCTTCCCAAAGGTGTCACCCACAGTCTGAGTGGGCCATTCCTCATCAATCAAGACAATCAGAGTTCTTCAGGTGAGGCCCTCCTACAGAAGTGATTCTAATCTGTGGCAGGTTGACCTTAAAACCAACCATAATACATAGTATATGCTTATTATACATAACAATGGGTGTCTAATGATGTTTTCATACACACAGAATTTTTATCGTTCTAGTTGGGAGCTCCTAAGTCAAGAGAAGGTATTTACAATCCTAAGTCATTGGTAAGATGTTTATAGATCACCTTGTTTTTTCATGTATTTGCCCATATTTAAAAATGCATACTTTTTTGTAACAATACCCAGAGTTTTCTTCATTGGTAAATGATAAAAAAACTAGCTTCTGAGGGCCAGGAATTACTTAGGCACAAAATACATAATAGTTATGTGATATTTGTAACCCTAAATGACGGTCTGTCTCCCCACAGGAAGCAGCAGCTCAGAAAAGCCAAGTTCTCTGTTTAACGTCTCCCATCGCTCAATGGGAGGGTTGTGATTCAAACACAGTTCACATAAATAATTACAGGATGTGAGGCTGTCTCCTACAGTTTGTGTGAACAAAGAAGTATTTGTTTATATTCCTTAATACAGACTTTATCTGCAATTTCCCTGGAGGTGGGCAAATGGATATATGTCTGTTTGTGTGCCTTTCTGACTATCTATCTATCTATCTATCTATCTATCAATCATCTATATCTATCATCTATTTATATTCCAATCATGTGTGTATATTTTCATGCATTATTGAACCTTCAGGAGCCTGAGGACTGGTGGTGGTCAGGGAATGTCTAGATTGGGCTGAGGAGTTTTTGTGGCTGTTAGAAAACAGGTTAAGTGCTCTGTGGCAAAGAATAAATGGGGCCTCCAGGCAGAAATGGAAGGGCATTTCAGAGAGCGGAGCTCCCTATGGAAAATCTCAAAATTCAAACGGGGAAGGGGCCAGGCTCCATACTAGGTCTCTGTTGTCCATGTGGCAGGCTGGGGGAGAGAACCGACAGCAGAGATAGCCTGCAGAGAAGCATGGGGAATATATAGCTGTGCGTGTGTGTGTGTGTGTGTGTGTGTGTGTGTGTGTGTGTGTATGTGTGTTGTGTGTACCTGGCCATAGTTTAAAAAACAAAGGATCCAAAAGAACCCGAATGTAAATCTAGAAATCAAACTCACCCCAGACAGGTGGAGGGAAAGAATTCTAACACTGAAAGTGGAACATCAAACCTGGACTTCAACTGTGAGCATTTAGGTTTTATTAATTAAGGTCAAGGTGATGACGGCAATACCAGCTGGGAGCCTTTTGCCCAGAGATAAATTTGTCCCTCTGCATTTCTGCAAGGCAGCGGGGAGGTGTGTGTTTGGAGCTAAATTAATTTGATTTACATCATGCCATGGTAACTTCTGTTCCCTCTCTCCCTGCTGTCAGATGTCTTAGCTGGCTTTTTCCCTTTCCTTCTCCCCCACACATTTCATAACACTGAGAGAAAGCACGGATTGGCTTCAGGCAGAATTTAGAAACCGAATAACTCTAATTTGATTCTTCTGCATGGAGTGCTATTCTCTCTCTCTCCCTCCTTCCTTGAGGGAGAGAAGTTGTAAACTCGAGCATAAGTATGCTTTATTTTTATATCATGCTTAATGGCACAGAGCTGCTTGACAGAACTTTTTCTTTGGTGCAAAACCTGGCAGCTCACCTTTCCTCCTCCACTGTATCTAATAGTAACGTCGGCAAATGAAATCAGAACCCGAGCCCCCAGGAATGTGCTCTTGCTGGCTCTGTGGCTGTCCCCTGCATGAGGTTTTACAGGCCTGTCATACCTAGTGACATCCAGCCCGGCAGTGGGGGCCTGGGCTGCGCGCGTCTAGCCCACCGCCCATCGCTCTTCCTGCTGGGCAGGATAAGGTTACGCCGGGGCCTCCTCTGTCGCAGAGAGGAAGGCGGGCCGACACCCGTCCCGCTAGGGAGTTGCCACAGTTGGCAGCCCGGGGCCAGTGGGGACGCTTCTCTGCAGGCGGCCTGGAGCTGAGGGTGGGGACCCAGAGCGCAGCCTGAGGCCGGGGTCCCCGCCATGGCCACGGCCAGGCCTCCCGGGCGCGGCTGCGGAGCCCTGCCTCGGTGGCTGCTCGGTGCTGCGCTGTTGCTGGGCCTGCGGCTCTGCATGGAGTTGCACCGCGCCGGCTCCGGATCCCCGGGCCGCAGCGATCCCCCGGGGCCGCCCCGGCCGCACCTGCTGCCCGCCCCCGGCCCTCCGCGCGGCGCCAGAAGGAGGCAGGTGACCTACGTGCGCAGCGGGCGCCGTGCATTGCCCCGCGGTGGCGGGAGCACGACGCTGGAGCCGAGCTGTTGCACCCCACGCGAGCTTCCCCGCAGGAAGGTCAGTTGCAAATTGTGCAGACCTGGACTTGAGTGTTGGGACGGCACCCAGATGGCGCTGGGGAGCCTTCTGCTCAGGCCGGCGGACCTCCCCACTGGGACCTCCAGACTCGTCCACCTCCTTCTAACTGTGCTCTCCCTGGAACTTTCTCTAGTCTCTTCAATGCCCCTACCGACTGAAGTGGAATTGAGCCGAGTTCATTTACACTCAACCACCGTTTGCTGAGCGCCCGCTGTGGCAGGCCTCCTTCTAGGAACACAGCACCGAGCAACCATACCCATTTCAGTGAGGGAGGGGGCGCTGAATGGCAGGAAGGGAAAGCAAAGGAGGCATGGTCGTGTTTTCCCTACCCAGGCCTGGACGAGGCCGGATAGGTAGACGTTGTGAATGGCTCTTCCACTAGGTCCAGCTGATGGTCCCACCGGTCCCGCGTCGGGACTGGCACAGGGTGAGAAGACAAGCCCCCAGCACCACTTAGTGAGAAAACAATTGCATCCGCCAGGACCAGACCTAGGTTTGTCTTATGTCCGCTGGCTAGGCTCTCCCTTGCCTCATTAGCTTCTTGCCTCACACTTCATTGAGTAGGTCAGTTTTAACCTCTGGTTGTTAAAGCCTGGGCTTCCCGCCTTCTTTGGGGAGCTCATCATTTACATGGTACTTAAGAGTGAAAAGATTAGGAACTGAATGTCTGAGCTTGCCAAATCCTTATACCCATCGCTGCTGCCCCCTCTCCAATCCTAAGACCCTCCCCCATCCTTCCGGTGCTTCCCTCCCCCACTTCCTCTACTTGCCCCCAGTCTGCCCACACGACTGTAGTGACTTCATGGGCTACCCTGTCATCGTCTGGGATAAACACAGCTCCGGTTTCTGTCTCTGAAATGTACCTCCTATGCGAGGACTTAGCTAGTTACTCTAAAAGATCCACTTCCTTCTCACGCCGCCCATGCCGTTGTTCCCGTGATGCCGTCCGTGTTAAGCATTCAAAAGTCTTGCCAAGGGCTTACACTGGATGCTGGGTCAAATGCTCCGAGCACAAACGGAATTCAAAGTGGTCGGGGGGGGGGGGGGCCTCGGCAAAGGAGTTCGATTTGATTCAGGCCTTGAACCCGTGCAGGGAGATCAGAAGGAGAACAAAGGGGCCGTTTGGAGCCTGGCTTCCTTTGTCCCTCTGCGGATGTCCTCAGACACTCTGTCTTTGATAGGCTTCCCCCTTTCAGAACCATTCTCCACACCTGTTGTCTCTGCTGTTCCAGGAGTTCTACGCTCTTGTCTCCACAGTCATTGGTAACTGGAACCTGCTTGGCCATGTCAAGGTTTGGAATGCATAGACCCAGAGGGTCGCTCAGGGGTGTGTGGGGGGAGTTCACCTTTCTTTATCCCCTGTAGGCGGTTGAAGCAGAGATCCAGTCTCAAAATGGTGGTAGATGTGGAGGCGGCAAGAAATGGAGGGAGGAAATGGGTGTGTTTGGAAGGTCCATGGAGAAAGAAGCAGGTGGATTCTGCTTGCCTTTGTTGGATTATAGAAAGGAAGTTCTGTCTCCAGGTAACTATCACAGATCCTTTAGACAGTCAGCTGGAAATGTCAAATACACAGTCAGGCATGCTGAATCTGGGGTCTCGAGGCAGTGTCCAGGCTGAAGTAGTGATCTGGGGTCATTGCATGCAAGTGGCATTAAAACTATGAGATAGTGTGAGGTCAACTGGGGGTGAGTGTACTGAACGCTGGCATTCAGTCATTATAATTAAATGAAAAATAAAATGAAAGGGAAATGTTAGCATGGTGTCTAGCATGTTATAAACACAATGTAACAGCCTTTATTTTCTCTAAGTTGTCCAGGGTCTTCAGCCTTAGCTGTTCCTCAACTGTGAACTATCACAGCTTATTTGCATATATTTGCCGTATCCCAGGTACTGTTCTGTGTGGGTCCTGTTCCCATCCTGCATCTTGCCAGTCTTCTTCCCTTTCCTACTTCAAACATTCAGGTGAAGGCTCATTTCTATCCATGACCATTCAGGTCAAAGTTCATTGAGAATCTTTCATTTCCACGCTGATCTCCCTGTAGTCCACAGTGGTAACAGCAAAGCCTTCTGGGAGTTTGAGTTGCTTGGTTCATTTGGAGACCTGAGAATCCATCTCAGATTGAATGTTTTGTCTATACAAAGTTTTTTCAACTAGGAGGAATTTCATCCCCCACAGTGACCCTAGTAAACTCCAGAGACACTAACATGAGAAAGATGAATACTGTTATGTCTTGAGTTTCTCATGGGTGATTATAAATAAATGTCTTTGGTTAAGCTATGTAAGAAGTAAAGCTTATCACTATTGTAAAACTAGTAAGTTATTAGCCTCCTGTGGAAACGATTTCCTTAGATTACCTTCTCCATAGTCATTTACTTGTTTTAGGAATGTATATCTCATCTCACCAACTTTCTAGACAGGATTCTGGATTGATTTCATTCCATTAGCCTTTCACAACTGAGCTAAACTATTCCTCAAAGCTGGACAGGCCAGTTATTTAATCTGTTTTCTGACCTCTGGGGATGGAGTTCACCATCTTACATGCCTCTGGGGATACACCTTGTTCCTTTTGAGCATAACAAGAAATGGTATAATTCAAGGTAAATGTACCATCGATCAACTGAGAAAGAGTTTGGAAGCTACCTGCTGAACTTCCATGTTTTATGTTAATTTAGTGGCTTGAGAATACTGATCAACAGTTTCACAAGGTTCTTGGTAAAAGGGGAGTGCAGTCCACTCTGTGGGCGGCTTTCTGGTGGTGAGAGCCTGCACGGAATACTCACTGGGTTGCACAGTGATTCTTGCTACCAAGCTTTCTTTGCAGAAGCGAGAGGTGTAAGCATTCAGCAATTATATTGCCACCTTGATCAGAGCTTATGCTACTTTTAAAGGAGAGAGAGAGAGAGAGAGAGAGAGAGAGAGAGAGAGAGAGAGAGAGAGTGGAGAGACAGATAGAAACACACAGAGAGAAGACATAGTTCTCCTGTAATCCGCTCCCTCTTCCTGTATTGCCCTTTACCAAGCTGTATAGAACAAACTCTAAATGTGAAGTCCTCTTGCACATCAGGACTTCTAATCTTTGAGCACTGGGAGACAAGAATGGATGGAAGGGGGTGGATGAGCACTGCTTTTTTTTTTTGATAGTGACGATCTTGGAACCTGTCTATTTCTGTACATTACAGACTCTGAGCATCTCATCAGCGCTCCTGATCTCGAAACTTTGCATAGCATCAAAACATCCCTGACATCCCTTTCTTTACTTTCTGTTTCCTGTGTGTTGTTGGTTTTTTGTTGTTATTTTCTTTCTTAAGTAGGCATTTGTGATTCCCGTGGGCGAAGTTCTTGGGGGATTTGTTTACAGAGGATTAGATGTGGTTTCCGTGACTTAGGCTTCTTATGTACTAGGGTGTGTGTGGTACCCCTCAGAGGTTGGCAGCCCATCTACGAGGAAGCCGCTCTTTAACATCTAGGCCTTGCTTCTTCAGGAAGACATTTAACTTAGGACCAGGCTTCCAGGAGAAATGTCATTTCAGAGCGATGTCACTTGACATTTAAATATGCTGGCAAGCAAAGTGACTTCTGAGTCACAGAGCTACAGAACCCAGCAATGTGCTGCTGTCTTGGCTGCTGAGTTACAGATCCTTTGGAACACTCTGTGTGTGTGTGTGTGTGTGTGTGTGTGTGTGTGTGTGTGTGTGTGTGTGTGTAGGGGAGGGACTGTTTCCTCTTATGAGAAACCATATGGCAAGTGTGGGCTTACTTCTTGTCTCCTCTTAGTTTTCTAATTCTGTAGCTGTCAGTGAAAGGATGGGGAGGTCCCCCTCTGGTCTACCCAATCACCTTGAGAGCCCTTATTGTTTTCAGACTCCTTGAAGGGTAGGTTGGGTCCCCTGTGACACCAAGAGAAGGCACAGTCCTCCTGTAATTCACCCCTCTTCCTGTATCCCCCTTTTTCACCAAGCTGTATAGAACGAACTCTGAATATGGAATTCTCTTGCAATATGGAGCTCTAATCTTTGAGCACTGGGAGATGAGGACAGATGACAGGTGGTGGGTAAGCGCCAGCTCTTTCCATTGTGACAATCTTCGAACTCAGCAGTCATGTCCAGCCTCTTCGGTTTTGCATATGTACCCATACTTCTGACGCACAGGGAGCAGCGTGAATCAGCCCTCTCCCACTGCCCAGGAAGCTGAACATTTTCATTTGAAACAAGTCAGCAGAGGGTGTTTGAATGAGCTCCAGCAGCATGTGGGTGTGAAATAACAGTTGCTTAGTTTCGTTTCAGAAAGCGGGTTTTTATTACAATTTTGATGTGCCTTCAGTGGGGCACCAGGGCTCTGCTTCCACCCCAATCCTGCAGTTAGTTTCTTGGAGAGTGTTCTGTGGGCAGAGGGCTGCTAATGGAGGCTCTATTGTTTTTCAACAACCAGGGGTGGAGATATTAGGTTTTGGTGTATAATTTGCGTGGTCCATTTTCTCTAAGGAGAAAAATGACCTGCCAGTTTTCTCGAATAGAATTGGATTTCCTTTTTCAGTCTGTGAAGAGAATCAGGGCCTCATAGTTAAACGGGAGACTGTCAAGGGTGGAGGGCCCTTGAGTCTTTCCATCTGTTCAATGATAGCTTTGCGGGCCTTCTGTTTCCGAGAAGTTGGCTTCTTTGTTCTGTGATACAGGGGAGGTAACAGGAACCTGTCTCATTTACCGTGAGACAAGTCTCAGCATAGCAGTCTGCCAGCAGTGATAAGCGTCTTTTCAAGCAGCACCTGGGTCCCTTGGATATGTCGCAGTGGACCCATTAGTGTCCTGTGGAGGTTTCTGGAAAAGGAGGGTGGGAAAATTTGCTCTCTAACAAGCATTTTTATCCTACTCAAGTGACTGAAGGAAAATTGAGTTTTAGAAGCCTCACAATCTAGGGGTATACATAATTTAAACGGCAAGCGAGGCTGTTAGTTACTCAGGAGGTAAAACTAGCCAATAAA